TATGACTACTGTGAACATTACATCATTATTATGAAACTTGAACATGTTGAATGTTGCAGAAATCATGGTAACTAAGTGTTGTTAACCAATTTATGCGATGAATACATTGCTAACAGTATTTTAGTGCATCACTTGATACAAATCAGAATAGCCAGAATTACATGCGATCAAACAAAAACAATCATGAGTAAGACGGAATTCTAATCAGAAATCTGATTTGTTGAGCTCTTTCTTTGTCGGAAGGAAACATTATCATTTCAACCAATTGTTACGTCATAAGCCAATTGTTACGTCATTAGCCGTATCCACAAATTACTGCATGGTATTACCTAATTCGTTACGTCGTTCGTCGTATCCATGGACTGTGTCCCAATTTGCTACGTCATTCGTCGTATCCATGAAAATATTTCACAATTCGTTATGCCACTCGTCGTATACATGGAATGTGTCCCAGTTCAGTTCGTCAATGGTGTGCTTTCCAATTCTTCAGAGAATAATGTCACGAGTAGTGAACCCAATAAAGATGAGTACACTTGAAGGTTGTTCCTTAAAGTGGGCCATTTTATGCTTTAAATTGTTTTCATTTTATATAGCCCTCTTTCCCTTCCCTACAATCTCCTACATCCGGGTCATTCACTGGTGCGTCATACATCTTGAAAATGTTCCGGGTCTTTGGGTTCTCTGTGTAAAGTTGAAAACATTCCAATATGATAGACTACGTTGGGTATGATTAAATAATGTATCATGTCGGACTTCCTGATGTAGTCAGAAATAGCAATATCCACTGGATATTCTCTTGTACCTTCCACAGATTGCAGGTAACTCACAATCTTCCCTACATTTTTAGTGTTGTATAGAGTACCCGGGATGCAACATCCAGGTGCGTGGTACATGTTGTAAAGCTGTACCGATATACGACGCAACTCGAGCACATAGTGTTGTCCAATCAGTACAGGTAGTAACATGACGTAGAAGACTGAGAGTAAAAACACCAATAAACGTGCAAGATACGATGTGTTAACATGTTGATTAATGAGATAGATATAAATAGCTGCTAGAGGTGGACCCCATGTACAGCCTATAGCGAAGAGGGTGAGCACTGTTTTTTGGCTCCAAGAATAGCCCTGCCACTTCTCTGGCATGAATAGTTTTACAGCAGCAACCTCGTCCAAGCGCTCATTCTTTACTAATTCGCCTTTCTCGTATGTATTCTCTATCCGTGTTTTCAATATGTGATCGAGGATGTCAAAGAAATCCCATCGCACCAGCGCATCGTCCTGTAATATTATGGTATACGAGGCATTCATCCTGGAAACCGCGTCCAGGCAAAACGTATAATCGTTTTTCTCATTCTTGTACGCCACTTCAGCCATGGTTTTCCTTGGACCTTCTTCTCGCGAGAATTCGTACTTTATGATAGTCGGTATAAATTGTGAAATGAATTCCGCTTCCTTGTGTGTTTCTGGGTGTTGATCGACATCGCAAATCACCATCATAGTGTCGTTACTATGACGACGCTGTAGAAGTTCATGAAGTC